CTTCTTCATCCCAGCTCCGCCAACTACCACAAGATTTGCATCATGTTTTTAGACTGGGTTTAAAGAAGTCAGCAGACAGAAAGACTCAATTAACTCTCTCAGCTGCCTTAATCATCCCACATACAGCACATCTACTCTGACCTGATGCCAAGTGGTGATGCCAGGAGTTCTTTTTCTCATTTCATGTGAGAACAAAAGAGTTTTTCCACTAATATTTATTTAGACATCTCATAAGAAGTTCACTTGCTCAACAATAATCACAAATCTAAAGATAACAAATCTATTATACGTTGCTAAGCTTTAAAATCAGGTTACCCCTTTGCATCCATCAGGGTGATTGCAAGATATTTTGGGTTAGGTTCAGTTCATATCTGCCTCTTAAAGTTTTATTGAAGATATCATGCTTCTTCTTTTGGCTACTCCACAGCAGATTGTGTGTCTCTATCTCACCCAATCTCTGTCACACCAAACGTTTTCATGTGGTCTTTCACTACATCCATAAATCTTCTCTGTGTTTTTTATCCTTCATGGCAAAAAAATAAGGAATCTCCTGCTCCCTTTCTCCCGTCACTCGTGAACAAGACCCCAAGATACTTAAACTCTTTCACTTGGAGCAGGAACTTGTCCCCGACCCTGAGTGAGCACTCCACCCTTTTCTGCTGAGGACCATGGCCTCAGATTTTAAGGTGTTTTCCCACCGCTTCACACTTGGCCTCGAACCATTCCAAAGTGAGCTGGAGGTCATTACCCAATGCCAACAGAACCACATCATCTGCGGAAAGCAGAGATGACAGCCTGAGACTACCCAAGTGAAAGCCTTCCACCCCTTGGCTATGCCTCGAACACAAAATTATTACAAGAATCGGTGACAAAGGGCAGCCCTGGTGGAACCCATCACCCACCAGGAACGAGTCTGACTTATTGTTGGCTATGCGGACCAAGCTCTTGGAACGGTTGTATAAGGATGAATGGCCCGTAGCAATGGACCAGACACCCCATGCTCCCGGAGCACCCCCTACAGGACACCCAGAGGGACACGGTCGAATGGCTTTTTCAGTCTTCTCAAGTCCACCAGACACATGTAGACTGGTTGAGCAAACTCCCATGCACCCTCAGAGGATAAAGAGCTGGTCCAGTGTTCCATGACCAGGACGAAAACTGCATTGTTCCTCCTGTATCTGAGATTCAACTAACGGGCGGACTCTCCTTTCCAGCACCCTGGCATAGACTTTCTCAGGGAGGTTGAGGAGTGTGATCCCCCTGTAGTTGGAACAAACCCTCCGGTCCCCTTTCTTAAAGATGGGAACCACCACCCCGGTCTGCAAATCCAGATGTATTGCCCCTGATCTTCACTTAACTTTGTACAGGCATGTCAACCAGGTCGGCCCTACAACATCGAGAGCCTTCAGGAACTCAGGCCGGACCTCACCCACACCAGTGACCCTGCCCCTAAGGAGCTGTTTAACTGCCTCAGTGACCTCGCCCCCGCAGATTGGCGGGTCATCCCCTACGTCCCTAGACTCCTTCTCCATGGAAGACGTGCCAGTGGGATTGAGGAGGTCCTCGAAGTATTCCTTCCACCGCTCAACAATTTTCTCAGTCGAAGTCAGCATTGCTCCACCCACACTATACACAGTGCAGGTAGATCACCACTTTCCTGAGTCACCTGACAGTTTGCCAGAATCTCTTCGAGGCCGTCTGAAAGTCTTTTTCCATGGCGTCTCCGAACTCCTCCCACACCCGAGTTTTTGCTTCAGCCACTGCCCAAGCCATGTTCCGCTTGGCCTGTTGGTACCTATCAGGTGCCTCCGAAGTCCCACAGGCTAACCAACCTGATAGGAGGCTCAGCCTTCAACACAATAATACAGATTTTGATCACCAAGTTAGCCAACCTGGGGCTCCCGCCACCCATCTGCTCTTGAATAAAGGACTTTTTGGTCGACAGAGCCCAGCGGGTGAAACTGGGTCCTCACTTGTCTTCCTCTCGCACTCTCAGTATTGGCTCTCCACAGGGCTGTGTACTAAGCCCACTACTCTACTCCCTCTACACATCTGAGTGCAGTCCCGCCACCCAGAGAACATCATTGTCAAATTTGCTGATGACACAACGGTGGTGGGGCTGATCACAGGGGGAAATGAGGTGGCCTACAGAGATGAGGCCCTGAAACTGGGAGAATGGTGTGCATTAAACAACCTGGCACTTAACATCACCAAGACCAAGGAGCTCATCCTGGACTTCAGCGGAGCAGAGCTGCCCCCCTGCAGATAAACTGTGAATGTGTAGAGTGAGTGGAGTCCCTCAAATTCCTTGGTGTCCACATCTCTGCAGACCTCTCCTAGTCAGTCAACATCATGGTGCTAGTCAAGAAGACCCACTAGCAGCTACACTTCCTAAGGGTGCTCAGGAAGGAGCCTGCTGACCTATGCAGTGACAGTGTGGCACACCAGCCGCATGGAGGCAGACAGGAAGAGACTGCAGAGGGTGGTAAACACAGCAGAAAAACCCCTCAGCTGCCCTCCTTGTCTGCCATCTAAAACTCCTGTTGTCTCAGCAGGGTCAGAAACATCCTGAAGGACACAAACCACCCCAGCTACCATCATTTTAACCTACTGCCCTCTGGTAGGTGCTTCAGATCCATACGGGCCAGAACAAACAGACTGAGGGACAGCTTCTTTCCCAAAGCTATGATCATATTATATCATCATCATCCTTCTCTGGCTTCCTGTCTGTGTCACCCGGTGCTGTGTATTTCTATTATGTATTTCTATTATGTGTATAGTTATATTATTGTACAGTTTTTTATGATGTGCTAAGCACATTATAAAAACTGTTTTAAAGCTTGTTATACTGTGTATAATGACAATAAAGGCTTTCAATTTTAATTCAATACTTTCCCATAAGCATGCTACGTTACTAAACCATGATTTTGTTTGTGAAAGTGTCTCATGACAATGCGTGCGATGGATGGGCATACAATGGATAATGTGAAGTGTGGGAGAGAGTACGACCATGCAGCGTTTAAAGCGTAGAAGTACTCACATTACTCTGAGTTTGATTCTGTAAAAAGTGACAAAAAAATTAACGTCTGCTGCACATTTGTGGAACACATGCTGCATGGGAAGAAAACTTCTTTCTACATCAAAAAATTAAACTTCAAATCTGAGCAAGCACTGAGCACGCTGCCATGGGAATGTGACATTCACAGAGAAACCCCCGGATCCCCCCCACTGACATGACCGCTGTGGGCAAACCTCCACCCGCCCCACTCCTGCTAACCAGGTGACAATAGATTTAAGAGCAACAAGACGTAGAACTGCTGAGTCTTGACAATGGGTTTAAATGTTAAATTTCTTCAAATCAGATAAACTTGCATATAAATTCATTTTTGCTTGATGCAATGTGCATGAAGTTAAAAGATTAAGACTTCCAGTCCAGTCACAATGCAGGTGTTCACAACAGATTCATTTCCCATCATTCGGAGTGAGATTTTCGTAATTCGTCCGTTCAGGTTCAGTTGTTTTATCAGTGACACTGTCACAAAGGTGGCTGAGCTGCCTTGATCCAAGAATGCATATGTTGTTACTGTCTTCGTTCCTTTCTGGGACTTGACACGTACTGGAACGATTGGAAGAATACAATCTTCCTTACCGGCCCCAGTCATGCTGAAAGTTGCTGTTGTTTGTACAAGAGCACTTGATATGAACTGTTGAGCAGCCTCCCTTGCTGTTTCTTCTTGTGAGTCCCTATTGGTGATGTGCAGCAGGGTAGGATGCAGTCGAGAGCATTCTTGACAATGAAGCTTGTCTTTGCAGCTGCTACTCATGTGACCATGTTTCAAACAGGCAAAACACAGTCCTATGCTCCTTAAAAACTCAATCTTGTCCTTATGAGGCTTGTCCTTGAGCTTTCTGCAGATTTGGAGGTTGTGTTGCTCTCCCTTGCAATAAACACAAGGTTTGCTGCTTGAATCCATTGGGACCGTCCATTGGGATCTGTCTTGTTTTCCATTTGAGAGTCAGTGATTGTTGTTGTAAACACTTTCTTTGGTTTGAATGTCTCTGCATATTGTGGCTTTGCTCTTTGTCTGAATGAGTCCTTCACACCTGTTGTAGTTTCCCTTATATTTCCATAAAGTGGGTGTAGCACGTACCTAACTTGCTGATTGATAAAGTTGAAAAAAATCCTTAAACTTGACTCTTTTCTTTGTTTTGTCTTGCAGGTCACAAGCATACTTTCGCCACGATTCTTTAAGTTTGTAAGGAAGCTTGTTAGCTAATGCCCTTAGGTTAGACGTATTATCCAAGTCTTCCATGTAGTTAACATCTGTCATTGCATTGTAGCAGCCGGTAAGAAACAATGCAAAGGACTGTAGTGCAGTGCCATCTTCTGGCTTAATTGTCTGCCAATCCAGGGCCTCCTTTATGTAGGCTTCAGCTATCTTAAAGTCATCTCCAAAAAACTCTTTGAGCATTTGTGTCACGGCTGGCGGAGTGAGCCGTGTGGTGTGGAGGAAAAGGAGGACCCAAAATGCAGGCAGCCGACTGATGATATGAGTGATGTTTATTTACAAAGGTGGCAGTCGCAAAAACAGGCAACAAAGCGTGAGTAATTACAAACGGAAACCTAAACTGGGAGAAACTAAAGAGCAAACCTGAAATCTTAACGAAACGGAGAGTAGAGCAGAGAGACGCAGACTAAGGAACAGGAACACCGATGAATGCAGAGATACATGGATGAATGCAGATGAACGCAGACGAGCCGACAACGAACACAGACCGACACCCACTAAATATACACACACAAGGTAATCAGGTAATCACACACAGGAGGGAAGAACAGCGAACCTAATACACATGAGGACCGGAGGAGACAAGCTGAACACAATGACAACAGACACAGACTTTCAGAACAAAACAGGAAATCTAGGACCCGAACCGGACACAAGGGGGGGAGGACACAGAATAACTAGAACAGAGGAAAATAATCACAAAACGCTGGGTCAACGACCCAGGACCACGACAATTTGTTTCGCCTTTCTATAACCCACTGAAGGTTCCATGTGGATGTAACTTTTAACCAACTCATGGGGTTGTCCACTCGTGTACTGCAGCAAAGACATGCTGTGGAAGAGAGACAGAGGTTAATAACAGATATGATTCAATGCAGAGAGGTCTATTAACACATAGTGAGTGAGAAAGGTGACTGGAAAGGAAAAACTCAATGCATCATGGGAATCCCCGGCAGCCTACGTCTATTGCAGCATAACTAAGGGAGGATTCAGGGTCACCTGGTCCAGCCCTAACTATATGCTTTAGCAAAAAGGAAAGTTTTAAGCCTAATCTTAAAAGTAGAGATAGTGTCTGTCTCCGAATCCAAACTGGAAGCTGGTTCCACAGAAGAGGGGCCTGAAAACTGAAGGCTCTGCCTCCCATTCTACTTTTAAATACTCTAGGAACAACAAGTAGGCCTGCAGAGCGAGAGCGAAGTGCTCTAATAGGGTGATATGGTACTACAAGGTCATTAAGATAAGATGGGGCCTGATTATTTAAGACCTTGTATGTGAGGAGCAGGATTTTGAATTCAATTCTGGATTTAACAGGAAGCCAATGAAGGGAGGCCAAAACAGGAGAAATATGCTCTCTCTTTCTAGTCCCTGTCAGTACTCTTGCTGCAGCATTTTGGATTAGCTGAAGGCTTTTCAGGAGTTTTTAGGACATCCTGATAATAATGAATTACAGTAGTCCAGCCTGGAAGTAATAAATGCATGAACTAGTTTTTCAGCGTCACTCTGAGACAGGATATTTCTAATTTTAGAGATGTTGCGCAAATGGAAGAAAGCAGTCTTACATATTTGTTTAATATGTGCGTTGAAGGACATGTCCTGGTCAAAAATGACTCCAAGGTTCCTCACAGCGTTACTGGAGGCCAAGGTAATGCCATCCAGAGTAAGAATCTGGTTAGATACCATATTTCTAAGATTTTCAGGGCCGAGTACAATAACCTCAGTTTTATCTGAATTAAGAAGCAGAAAGTTAGCGGCCATCCAGGTCTTTATGTCTTTAAGACATTCCTGCAGTTTAACTAATTGGTGTGTGTTATCTGGCTTCATGGACAGATAGAGCTGGGTGTCATCTGCATAGCAGTGGAAATGTATGCTATGTCTTCTAATGATGCTGCCTAAGGGAAGCATGTATAATGTAAACAGAATTGGTCCTAGCACTGAACCCTAGGCTTTAGTCCTGCACAGCTTGTATTTGGACATGAAGTCAGAGGACCATTGCATATCCTTAAAGAACAGCTAGTTGTTCCAACTAAAACATTGAAGAGCATCCCTGAGTACGTGGCTAAAATTAGAGAGTGCCTTAAATCAGCTTGCGCTATTGCCAGGGACACCTTAACTGCTAGGCAGATAAGGATGAAAAAACACTATGATCGGAGAGCAGTTGTTCGTCAGTTTAAACCTGGTGATCAGGTTCTAGTTTTGCTCCCCATCCTGGGCTCTTCTCTGAGAACAAAGTTTTCGGGACCATATGTTGTGGAAAAGAAACTTAGTGAGACAAATTATGTTGTTCAAACACCTGATCGTCATCGCAAGACCAGAGTATGCCATGTTAACATGATGAAACATTATCTTACGAGAGAGAATGAAGATGATCCCCTCACTCGCACAAGGTTACATCTAGCTCTCCTGTAGCATGCGTAACTTCAGAGATGGCCAATGAAAGCAGTGAGGAGGATGCGATCCGGCGCAAAAATGCGTCACAGGGTACGAGACTAAGTAATGGTGAGATTCTGTCTGCCCCACTATTTGTCTCACCTGTCACTTGATCAGGCTGAAGACATTCAGAACCTGATTGTGTCGTTCCGGTGTATGTTTGGGGATATTCCTACCCAGACGAGTTTGATATCCCATGACATTGTTCTTACCAATCCTGCACCCGTTAAACAGCATGCATACAGAGTCAATCCCATCAAAAGGGAGGCTATGAAAAAGGAAGCAGAGTATCTAATTAAGAATGGACTTGCCATACCCAGTTGCAGCCCCTGGAGTTCCCCTTGTTTGTTGGACATTAAAGCTGATGGGAGTCTGTACGGACTTCCGCAGAGTGAATGCTGTGACAGTTCCTGATGCATACCCCTTGCCCCTCATCGATGATTGCATCGATGACATCGGACCTGCCACATTTATTACTAAACTGGATATGTTGAAAGGTTACTGGCAGATTCCTTTAACCAAACGTGCGTCAGAGATATCAGCTTTTGTAACTCCAGACAGTTTCCTCCAGTACACAGTCATGCCATTTGGGTTATGTAATGCGCCAGCTACATTTCAGAGGCTACTGAACAAAGTACTGGGTGATGTTCCAAACTGCTGGGTGTATCTGGACAACATAGTCGTGTATTCCAGTGAATGGGCAGAGCATCTTGCTACTTTGTCAGCTGTGTTTGAACACCTCTCAGCTGCCTCACTGACTTTGAACCTTGCTCTTTTGAGCCAACCATCCCTTTAACGTTAACTAGTAATGACTCCATGAACTTCTTCACAAATAAAATTTTTATCATTAGAGGAAAAATTACCAATAATCACCACCATCAACATTGCGTGCAGCAGCAACCACAGCCTCCCAGACACTGTTCAGAGAGGTGTACTGTTTTCCCTCCTTGTAAATCTCACATTTGATGATGGACCACAGGTTCTCAATGGGGTTCAGATCAGGTGAACAAGGAGGCCATGTCATTAGTTTGTCTTCTTTTATACCCTTTCTTGCCAGCCACGCTGTGGAGTACTTGGACGCGTGTGATGGAGCATTGTCCTGCATGAAAATCATGTTTTTCTTGAAGGATGCAGACTTCTTCCTGTACCACTGCTTGAAGAAGGTGTCTTCCAGAAACTGGCAGTAGGACTGGGAGTTGAGCTTGACTCCATCCTCAACCCGAAAAGGCCCCACAAGCTCATCTTTGATGATACCAGCCCAAACCAGTACTCCACCTCCACCTTGCTGGCGTCTGAGTCGGACTGGAGCTCTCTGCCCTTTACCAATCCAGCCACGGGCCCATCCATCTGGCCCATCAAGACTCACTCTCATTTCATCAGTCCATAAAACCTTAGAAAAACCAGTCTTGAGATATTTCTTGGCCCAGTCTTGACGTTTCAGCTTGTGTGTCTTGTTCAGTGGTGGTCGTCTTTCAGCCTTTCTTACCTTGGCCATGTCTCTGAGTATTGCACACCTTGTGCTTTTGGGCACTCCAGTGATGTTGCAGCTCTGAAATATGGCCAAACTGGTGGCAAGTGGCATCTTGGCAGCTGCACGCTTGACTTTTCTCAGTTCATGGGCAGTTATTTTGCGCCTTGGTTTTTCCACACGCTTCTTGCGACCCTGTTGACTATTTTGAATGAAACGCTTGATTGTTCGATGATCACGCTTCAGAAGCTTTGCAATTTTGAGACTGCTGCATCCCTCTGCAAGATATCTCACTATTTTTGACTTTTCTGAGCCTGTCAAGTCCTTCTTTTGACCCATTTTGCCAAAGGAAAGGACGTTGCCTAATAATTATGCACACCTGATATAGGGTGTTGATGTCATTAGACCACACCCCTTCTCATTACAGAGATGCACATCACCTAATATGCTTAATTGGTAGTAGGCTTTCGAGCCTATACAGCTTGGAGTAAGACAACATGCATGAAGAGGATGATGTGGACAAAATACTCATTTGCCTAATAATTCTGCACTCCCTGATTTTGGGGGGTTTAATAAATTTGTCCATATTTCTAGAAATGAGAGCTGCTCCATCCAAAGTGGGATGGATGCCGTCTCTCCTAACAAGACCAGGTTTCCTCCAGAAGGTTTGCCAATTATCTATGAAGCCCACATCGTTTCTGGGACACCACTCAGACAGCCAGCAATTTAAGGAGAACATGCGGCTAAACATGTCACTCCTGGTCTGATTGGGGAGGGGACCAGAGAAAACTACAGAGTCCGACATTGTTTTGGCAAAGTTGCACACCGATTCAATATTGATTTTAGTGACCTCCGATTGGCGTAACCGGGTGTCATTACTGCCGACGTGAATTATGATTTTACTGAATTTACGTTTACCCTTAGCCAGCAGTTTTAAATTTCCTTCAGAGTTTGACCCCCGGCGGGTGTGTCGCCGAGTGGGGAAAAACGGTTAGACACATGAACGGGTTGGTGGTGTACCTGGGGCTTCTGTTTAGGACTATGCTTCCTCCTCACCGTGACCCAGCCGCCCTCTTTCCCCAGCTGCTTGGGGTCTGCCGGGGAACAGCTAGCGGGGCCTACGCTATCTTCGGCTGCACCAGCTACAGGGGCCTGGCTAGCTACGGGTGAATGAAGGGTGCGAAGCCGAGTCTCCAATTCAGTAATCCTGGCCTCCAGAGCTGCAAATATGCTACATTTGTTACAGATATCATTACTGCTAAAGGAGGCCGAGGAGTAACTAAACATCTGACACAATGAGCAAGAAAGTGCAGGAGGGACAGGTGAAGTAGCCATGGTGCTAACGAGTCGGCTACGAGCTAAGCTAAGCTAGCGAAACAGTACAGAGACAGTGAGTGAATACTTTGGCTATAAATTAGGTAGTGAGTACACAGAAAGTGTGCTTCGGATGAAGCACGTGAAGATTATACTATGAAAGAAGAATGTATTTAAAAGTTGTTAATTAAATTGCTAAGCAAATAAGCTACTCAGAAACACCACTGTGTTTGAGCAGGAACAGGAAGTGATACTCTACCACAGAGCGAGCGAACACCAAGTGACAGCGCCACCAAGAGTCAGTACGGTTTTCAATTCCATGTTCAATGGAACCGATAAAAGAGTTGTATTCAAGTGGATCTCCGTTGAAAGTTGGAATGGAGATGTCAGGTAATAAAGAAGCTTTGTGATTCTTTACCACATAGGTGTCAAACTCTGGCCCGCGGGCCAAATTTGGCCCGCAGCCTAATTACATTTGGCCCGCGAAGCCATACCAAATTACTATCAGAGCTGGCCTACTGGTATTATACAGCTAATATATATATTGTTTAGTATTAAGCTTTGCTTGTTCCATATTCAGTTTTTCAGCAAAACGTGTTTGAGTCCATAAGAAAAGATTCATTCTTATATCTGGAGGAATAAATATATTTCAATAAATATTACATAAATATTAACGTTAGCCCGACTTTGTTCCAGTTTTGAATTTTGGCCCACTGTGTATTTGAGTTTGACACCCCTGCTTTACCAGGTACTCAGTGACATTAACTTGCTGAGAAATGGCTTGACACAAACTATCGAGCACAGGTTCACCAGCCCTTTCAGTGCTTGGCGCAGGCACTGTCCTTTCTTGCATTGGTGTCTGCACATCGTCGTCATCGTAGGGTGCAGATGAGACGTATTGCGATGTTGGGTGGAATGTGGTTTTAATCTCAGTTTTGCCATTCTGATCATCATCTGCAAAAATGCTCATGTCTGGCTGTGTATCTTCATATTTTTGCAAAACTTCCAGTTTTGCATCTGACTCAGCAAGGGCAGTCTGCATAGCATGCATTTCCTTTTTAGCCTTTATTGCAGCCTCTCTTTGTTTTTCTTCTGCCTGCAATTGAGCCTCTTTTCCTTTCATTTCTGCATACCAATCCGCTTCTTCCTTTTCTATTGCCAAACTCTTCTCCAGAGCTGCAGCCTTTGCCTTTAATGCAGCACGCTCCATTTCTACCTTTAATCTAATAGAGGAAGATGTAGAGGAAATGCTTCCACGTTGTGATCCAGATCTACTGGAGCGTTTGCTTGCCGACTTTGATGATATGGACCTATTATCTGCCTGCTTTCCTATGTCGTCCTCTCTGTTCTGTTCAGAGCGTTTCATGACTTCATTCATCCACCCTTCACATTTCCAAAAGAAATCATTCAGGGACTTGTTCTTTGGATCAAACCAACTATTTTGATCTTCCAAAAATTCATCTTCACTCATAAGTTGTTGCAGTTCAGAATTTAGGCTAGCAAAGTCTTGCTGCAAAGAGCTAAAGTCAACTCGTAATTTATTTTTAACGAGGTCAACATTTGCATCATCTTCCATTAATTGCTCAATTTCTTTTTTCATGCCTGTTAATTGAGAGAGCTTATGTCTACGTGTGTTGACATTTCTAGTCTTGCAGTCTTCCATAACCTTCTCAGTCATTTTTACAATCCTTTTTCCACTGTTTTGTTCGTCCATGGGCAGCAAAATTCTAAACTCAATCAATACACATGCACCTCAGCAAATTGAAAAAGGGCAAGGCAATTTAAAACTTACGGTTTTCCATCTTCAGTTTTTCCTCGGTTTGGTATTTCCTTCTTACTTACAGTTTTTTCTGAATGCTTAAACCCTAACTGTGATTCCTGTAGCACAATCTCTAAAACTATTCAGACTTATAGCAAAACCACTCACTGAGTTTGCAAAACTAAAAGCACAAAAACTGCTTTGCACTCAGTTTGCAATTTTGTAACACACACTTTGCAAAACTGTAGGCACAATTCACTGCACAACACTCAATTACCAAATTTCCAACACACTCCTAGCAAAAGTATACACATGTATGGCTATCATTAACACTAATTTGCCAACTGTCTGGCACACTTTCACATGTGAAAACTTTTTTAGATAATTAGTTCACTTTGCAATCAGCCTAAGCACTATAATACAGGTAAGCTGTGTGTGCGGAGTACAATGGAGGGAGCAGGAAGAGTGAGAAGTAGAGGAGGCCGAGGAAGAGGACGTGGAGGTGAAGAAGTAGGATGAAGAGGACGACAAGGACAAGGAGGAGCAAGAGGAAGACGAGGAGGGGGAGAGGAAGATGAGGAGGGGGGAGAGGAAGGGTAGGAAGAGTAAGAAATAGAATTGCTGATGACATCAGAGCTACAATAGTGGACCATGTAATCAACCGTGGAATGACCCTGAGGGTAGCTGGCCAACGGGTCCAGCCTAACTCGAGCCGCTACACTGTAGCAAGTACCATAAGGACATCTTGAAATGAGAATCGGTTAGTACAGTCACTTCGCACAAAGATTTGTAGCACTGCCATATGCCAATGAGAAACACACCAATACCATTGATGTAAAAATACTGAAATTGTTACTTTACAGAATTGCTAGATGACCAGATGCTGGGGGCAGAGGAAGCATGTTCACTGCAGACCAAGTAACCCATATAGTCATTATGGCGATTGCAAATAATCCTATACTTGGAAATAAACACTTGTGTTTGTTTTGATGTGTTTGAATAAACACCAGTACTTGAAGTTTGGATCCCTCTATGCTTATGGATCTATGACTAGGGATGGGTATCGAAAACCGGTTCTTGTTGAGAACCGGTTCCCACTGTTTCAATTCCTTGGAATCGTTTGCCATTTTTGCAAACGATTCCCTTATCGATTCCAGTCGCCCCGAATGACGTCACCACGTTGCGGAGCGTCATTTACCTGGCAGGAAACACGGCGCCTAAGCGGCTCAAACGCTCAAAAGTTTGATTATACTTTATGAGAACCGATGACAACAGGGCAACTTGCAAAGTAGATATTTCATTTAAGGGAGGAAACACTACGAATATGCAAAAGCATTTGCTCACAAAACACGCGATGACACGCGTTTTTAATTCCGCTCCGGACTCGTGACTCTCAACCCAGCAGCAGCGCTAACGTTTGCACGTCCTCTCCCGTTAATGCGGCAGGTAAATAATCAACTAACAGTGCATATTATGTTAGCGCAATCTGCCTTATTACAAGACCTGCCATTACTGTACATGTAGGTGACCATGATGAGAGAGACAGACAGAGTCTGGCTGGCGCTCGCTGGCAGTTCTCGCTGCAGTCTACCGGTAGCGTCTCCTTTCAGGCCAGGATAGACGAATGTCACCGAGCAGTGTCTAAGTTTGTGGTCAAAGGCTTGCACCCATTTGCCACAGCAGATGCCCCGATTTTTGGTAAGTGAATGTGTTTAATTGTAGGCAGGGACATTACTGGATATTCTTGTGTAATTGCCACAGAACAATTTATGTTATACTTTGTTATTGCTACAGAAGAATGTTGCAGCTTTAAGGCAGGGATGACTCCTGGAGTTGCTTTCTCACTGCATATGCTTTATTTCACAATCAGATCGATTCGATAACAAAAACATACAGCAGCTCCTCTCCTACTCCTAGCCCTTCGCTGCGGTGGAAAAAAGAACGACTTCAATCCCCTTCAAGGAACATACGTACAAAATAGTTTTCCTGATACACCAATGGGGCGTTCAATGCCATCTTGTAAATATGAGTACTCTGGCAGAGTAACAGTTCAAATGAAAAATACACCAGAACAAACAAGCAAACAAAAAAAGAAGTGTGGGGTACCTTTGAACCAATGAACAAAGTATAACAATTTATACTTTTTAACATAACCCGACCCCGTCAATATGTGATATGTCTCACAAGAATATTTATTTTATTATTTTACATTTACAATTTTTTTTCCTGGGGACCCTGTGACACCCCATTGAAGAGCCGTAGGCTGGATCTCTCAAGATCTCACTGTTGGGTTTGTAAGGCCATGTTACTCCTAAATTTCTATCTTGTTCAAAGAGAAGATATAAAACAAAGTTCTAAGCTAATCGACCTTAGTGTTCTCCTTTTTTAAAAAGAATCGATAAGAGAATCGATAAAGAATCGAATCGTTAAACAGAATCGAAAATGGAATCGGAATCGTTAAAATCTTATCAATACCCATCCCTATCTATGACAGAAGTATGAGCTCAAACTGACATAGCCTACCTTGTGCACAGAGAAAGCAAAAGCCAGATGTGTTTTGTATTCATACCATCAGTGTGCAGTTGGCGCATTGTGTGCTTAGTAGATGATGGCTTGTGTGTACTGTTTGATACGGAAACACCATTTTTACGAAGGTGTGAAGAGTTAATCTAGCTGTGTTTGCTTTTGCAAGAGAACTACAATGTTTTGATTATTGGGTGACAGGTTTTCTTATTTGTGTGAAGAGTTTTGCAAAATTAGCCAATAGTTACAAAAAATGTGCTTAAGCAATCAGAAAAAACTGTAATATATTCAACTCATTAATCCGTGAAGAGCAGGTTTTTTGACTAATGTAGGTTTCCTTTGAATGGAGCCTTAGCTTGACGCTCCGCTTAGTCCCTCTTTCCATATCCAAAAAACAAAAAACAAAACAACAGTCCTTGATAGTTTCTCAATATTTACTTCAAAAGTCCAAACAGGTACACAGCAACAGAATTCCAAATTACAAAAACTTATAAAGCTCAATTCAAAATGGATGAAGAGAGATTGCGAGGTCAAAAAACCATGTGGCTCCACTCTCCTCTCGCCCAACTTCCTGTTTTTTCTGCACTATCAAAATAAAAGCATACATTTCAAATTAAACTGCATGTAGGCTTCTACAGTTATCATGGCCAATGATCAGTGGTCTTTGATCAGTTGGTGATCAGTGGTCATGACAATTTGCATATTACAGTTTTTTACAGTCGCTAACAAGCGTTTGTCCAAACAGTTGTCACATTTGCAAAACTCTAAACACAATTAGCACAGGATCGGTCTGTTGTGGCCATACCATTCACACATTTCATGTCGTGTTCACCCAATATGCAGTCAGTGAACACATTTCCACAATGCTTACATTTTCTTAACAGACAAGTTATACCTCCCAACAAAACTATGGACTGTTCTTGTAGTATCTACGAATGTTAACACACAACATCCCACAATAGCAAAAACAATATTCCAAACCGTAGATACAGTATAAAAACCTCTGCCCCTGCAATGATATCAGTACAAAAACAATATCAATATCAAAAATATATCTCAGCTGTAAACAAACAAACAATTGAATAATTGACACACAGCTGATTTATGTTGGGTAAATTGGGCCAACCACACCTTCTTCCATTCTGGCTTAGACTCAGTGGGGTTCATAAGGCAAGACCTTGAGGAGTGATGTTTTTGGAAACAAAAAAAAGACAAACACTGTAATGTCTGGTCGAGGAGGAGTAAGAGCAAGGGGCCCAGAGAGAAGAGCAGGCCCAAGGAGAGGGCAAGGTATAGGTGTAAGAATGCGTGGTGGTGGCATTCCAAGGGCTGCAAGAACAGTAGTCAGTGATGAAATCCGTGCCACTATCATTGACCATGTAATCAACCATGGTCTTTCACTAAGAGAGGCTGGTGAAAGAGTGCAGCCCAATTTGAGGCGGTCAACGGTTGCCTCCATTATACGCACCTTTCAACAAACCAACAGGTAAGTATTGCATTTTACATGGATTGTTCCTATTCTCACTTGACATGTCAATATGGTCATACAGTAATGCATATGTTGAATTGTCTGTCTTTCTAAAGAATGCAACGTCTTCCACCCTCTGGGGGAAGAGGAAAGCTCCTCAGTAATGATCAGGAGCTTGCCATTGTGGAAATGGTTACTGCAAATAATGCAATAAAACTGCGTGAAATACAAACCAGAATTGTGGCGGACCATGAGATATTCGACAATATCGATAGAATCAGCCTCACAACCATTTCGCGGACATTGTCCAAACATAGAGTGCGGATGAAGCAGCTCTACACTGTTCCCTTTGAGAGGAACAGTGAGAGGGTCAAGGAGCTACGACGACAATATGTCCAGGTACAGTGTATATTCAATCCAATGTCCAGTTCTATAAGCTTTGCACTTTGCAAGTAGGTAACCTACACAATACTAGGTTACAGTACAGTATGGTATACAGTACTAACATGACTTACATAAACTTTGTTTCAGAGAGTTATGGAATTGGAGGCCAACCAGGCCCCTCATGAATTCATATACATCGATGAGGCAGGATTCAATCTGGCCAAAAGGCGTCGACGTGGACGGAATGTGATTGGTAAAAGGGCCACAGTTGATGTGCCAGGACAGAGAGGGGCAAACATTACCATGTGTGCAGCAATTGCAAATGCAGGATTACTCCTTCACAAATGTCAGGTTGGACCCTATAATACAGAGCGCTTGCTTGCCTTTCTCAATGATCTCCACCAGCGCCTGGTTCCAGAGCAGGGTCAGGAGGGTGAAAACATGAGGACCTTTGTAATTACCTGGGACAATGTGGCTTTCCATCACTCGCAAGCAATAACAACATGGTTTGAAGTCCACCCAAGACTGGTGAGTCTCTTCCTTC